CGCCTCGGGAAAGTTCCAGGATCTGATTTGAATCACTGCCAGCCCTCCCCCACTGGCACACCCCCCCCCATTTCTGCTGAAGGGAAAAGAAGGGTCCAGCCTGTTCCTATTAAAAGAAAAAGGGGATGGGGGTGGTGCAGATTTTGAAAGTTTTCTTTCTTTCTTTTTTTTTTTTTTTTTAAGAAATTTCTCAAGGGATTTCCTTCCCTCCTCTCCTCTTCCTCTCTTCCTCCCATTCCTCTCCCTCTACAACCCCCCCTCCTTCTTTCCCCCTCCCGGTCCCTATGAGTCAAACTTCAGCAATGTGCCCAGTGTCCCCCAGTGCATTACAGCGGATCACAGAAATGTTCCAGTCTGTGAGTCGGAATGTAGCCGCCTCCAGCCCTCCCTCAGCTAATAAACTCAGCTCAGGGTAGGCTTTGCAAAGCGGCCCTCCCTGCCTCTACCCCCCTCCCACCCACTACCCCTCTTTGGGCTGGAGAGAAGGTCAGATTCAGAGGTCAGGGGCTGAGGACCTCCCCGTTGTGCTTCCTGGCCTACTATCAGCAGTGTCAGCCTCCAGCAATATGCTGGGTCAGAAAGCTCCTGGGAAGGCCAGAGGTCCCTGACCCAGAAAACAGGGCTCTCCTATAGTGTGGGTGAGGTGCCACTGGAAAGCAGGGAGCAGTTAGTTTCCTTCTGACCTGAACCTACTCCCTCAACCTTAGGACCTCCAGAGTTTACAGAAGTTGGGGCAGACGCAGTGGTGGAACCATGTTAGATTGGGAGCAAGAGTCTAGAGGGGCCTAGAAGTGTTTAGCCATGCTGAAGAAAAACTTCTGACCACAGACTTATTCCCTCAGTCACTGCTCTGGCCTGTGATGCTTAGCTGCTGACTTCCTATTTCAGGTGCTTTTCTTGACCCAGTGCTCACTGGCAGGTAGATGGAACCCCTCTGAACTTGTTAACTTATATTCACAAACTCCTTTCCTGACATTCAAGTTCTCCTATAACATGGTACCATGCTACACACCCCTGTCCTTGCTTCCTGATACTTAGTGATTAATGATGTTATTTATTATTGGTAGTATTATTTTTTTTAGTAGACTGAAATAATAGCAGACCATACCCCTCCTGTCTTCATGCTTTCTCACTCCATGCTTTGGCTCATTGTTCTCCCTCCAAAAATAAATGTCCTCACCAGTCTCTTTCTCCTATTGAAATCTTTCTACTTCTTGCTGGGCGTGGTGGTACACACCTGTAATCCCACTGGCTGGGGGGGATCACAATTTCAAAGCCAGCCTCAGCAAAAGCAAAGTGCTAAGCAACTCAGTGAGACCCTGTCCCTAAGTAAAATACAAAATAGGGCTGGGGATGTGGCTCAGTGGTTGAGTGCCCCTGATTTCAATTCCCGGTACAAAAAACAAAGCAAAACTTTCATAGTCTTCTCCAGGAAGGCCGATTCCATTGCCAGTAGGATTTTTCCCTTCCCTGAAAGGACCTGCCCCCAGTGTGGTGGTTTTTCTCTCTGACCTTCACCCACCTCATCAACTAGTCTCAACTCTTTCTTCTTTCCCAAGAGCTTCAAGAGTAGATATCTGGTTTGAATGCTGCAACTACTGCCAGCTACTAGCTGAGTCATGGCTGCATTTCTGATAGTGCTTTGAACAGAAATCAAATTCCATGTGGGTTTTTTGTTGAACTGGGACAGATGTTCATGGCCTTCAGGACCCTTCTTTAGCTGGTCACCCCAATATACTCTTCTGTCGCATGAGTATCTATGCTAGCTCTGCAAGACACCTGCTCTTACATCTCCCCAATGCTCACCTCCTAGCCAGATCAACCTCTTCCAATCCCTCCTGGAGGCCCACAGCCCCCAGCAAAATTCCTTTTACTGCAGACCCCAGTAACCCCAGTTACTACAGACAGCCCCTATTATCTCCCTCTTGTATCCCCACGATACACGCCCCTCCCATAACACATGAACCTCTCACTCTATGTCTATTTCTGTGCTGAAGTTGGGTCCTTTTTTGCTCATTTCTACCAGGTGCATCATTCACATATTTACCTATAAATCTGCTTTTTCTTATCAACCTGATCACTGACTTCTGAATGACCCGAACAGAGATGTCTTGCTGCCTGTCTGTCCTTACAGTGTTCAACATGTGGCTTTCTATACACACCAGGACTCACTGCCTGCCAAATACAGGCAGAGGAAGACAGTGTGTGTGACCTGCAGCTGAGAGGCTGGACTATGTCCCTCTTTCCCCCACTAGATTTACCTACCACTCCACCAGCCCCTGCCCTATTGTGGAGTCCTTAGATAGTTTCTAAGTCACATGTGCCCTGCTGGGATATGTTAGAGAGCCTCCATGAACCCTAGAGACATGAGACTATAAAATGCAGGCTATCTCTCTCTCCTCTACCCTGGTTACCATGGGGAGCTTCTATAAAGTCTCTCAAGTCCAGGCCTTTCACAGCCTGCTGAGCTAAACACCTAGCACAAGAGATTGGCCCCAAAGGACTTGCCTCAAGTCTTCCCTGGGGTCTCTGGCCCACACAAAGCCTGAGCACACCCCTCTCAGCTTCCCTTTGGGGCCGTGGGACTACTTGACCTTCTCTTTCTCCTTCTTCTCTCTTTCTTCCCTTAGTTAGCTACCCTTTACTGACTGTTTACCATGTAGCAGACCTACGCTAGCCCTTAGACAAACATTAGATCATTTATTCTTAACAATAATCCTTGTTATGCTCGTGAATAAAGTATGGCCCATAAAGATGAAGAAACCTGACCAAAGTTGCACAATGAGTAAGTTATAGGGCCATTCATTCATTCAATAAATATTATTGGATGCCTACTTTGTGCCAGGATTCAAAGTTCCAGAAAGTCCTCAAGTCTAAACCTCCAGACCACTCCTGTCCCAGCCTTCTCAATGTGGCAGCTTCAGCAACAAGTCCTCCCATAACTGTGCACTTACTACAGACAACCTCTTCCCACAGAGGCATGCTCACTCCCCAGGATCTCAGTGGACAGCCATTGCATGGGATTGGGCCAGGCCTTGTGCTCCAGTTTCTGGGCCTGGGATCAAATGCCAATGCATAGAGTTTCAGACTTGTAGATTAATAGGGGAGGTTAAATCCCCAACTCCAAGTAAAAGGGTTTCATGGGACAGAGAGAAGAAGGAGAAGGAAGGAAGAAAGTGGGAGAGGCAGGGAGGGAAAAAAATTGAAGATTTCTTGAGCATCTCCTATGTTTCACATGTTGTTCAAGGTCCTTTTGCTTATACCTCATTATTATCCCCATTGTTTTAGTGAGCAAACTACAGTTTCAAAAAGACAAAATGATTCGCCTAAGGCCACAGAGACAGTAAGTGACTTGATCTCAAGTGTATCTGATTCAGAGCCTGTGTTATTTCTCCTAGCAGGTCAGAACAGTGGCCAAGCTTTGTCAGGGTCTCCTATTCCTGAGCAGCCTGATTCCTTGACGTCCCTGTTGACCTGTGCATATCGTTCCTGATGCCAAGTCTCCTGTATTGCTGGCTCCAGTCATGTGGTCATATCCTTGTTCCCTCCGCCCCCTTTCTCTGTTGCTTTGCACAGGATTAAGGAGCTAAGTAAGCATCCTGGGTATGGCTTTGGGCTGTAGGCAGGCAGACACTCATCTAAGATTTCAGGGTCTAAGACAAGAGGTGCCACATGCTTCTGGACCAGAAGTGAATGAATAAATCAGG